ATGATATGATATATTATATGATCATTTAGGACCATAACCACAAACTATAACTTGTCTATATAATAGTGGAGACGATAAATATTGAATACTACTATACTATGTTCATACTGAGTTACTATTCTATTTTCACTAGTTAAGTTGTTTACTTGACCATGAAGTCTATCAGCATCCCTAGTCTTATCTACAATTATATTGTGCGTTTAATTTTAAAACGCACCCTTTTAGTTTTCTCTTATTTCATAAAAAAGTACAAAAAAAAAAAAAAAAAGGATATTCTAGGACGATTAAAAAAATGATGTTACCTTCCCTGTATGTGCATACAAGTTATAAAAGCATTTTATTCAATCAAAAAAGGAAAAAAAAAAATGAAATGTTGACATTTTAAATTGTCATAAACTTGCAAATGTGTTTTGGTTTGCAGGCATTGCGAGTACTTCCAGTGCCTTCATGCCTAGCTAGAGCAAAGTCTTTGCCGTGATAAGTGAAACGAGGTCACATTAATGTTTTGCGCAACAGAAGTTATAAATGTTTCTGATGTTCTTGTTTTATATAGTTGTCTTTTGTTGTTTCTGAAACCAAATATCTCTAATATCATGTATTCCCAATGGAGATGCTTTTATATATCTGGACTTTTAATCATGGTATGAAATGGTAAAGTAACTAATCATTATTCCAAGTTTTGTGAAAACCTTGTAATTTTTGCGTCTCGTTTGTTACTCTGCTACTGGTATAAATAATGTTATTATCTGGATGATATGTAATATTTGAGTTTTTCCCATATGACGAAGAAATCCCCTTGACTAATACATTTTACGTCAACACCTTGAGTCCTTAACTTTGCTAAATGTATTTGGGAAATGACAAAACTATCTAATTAATTGTGATGGTCGCTTTGAATCTCTATTTAATCAGAGTTGTTCATTCCAAATAAGAGAATAGTCTAAGATTGAAGACCTAAATTAATTGATTAAGTGGAAATTACATGGTTTGTCATTGAAATTCCCAAGTTTTACAATTTTTTTTTTTCTTCAAGTAAAATCCTAGAAGCAACATGGGGGCAAACTCCTCTAACGAAAAAAAAGCCTTCGTCATTAGAGGACAAACATTGATACCATTGAATTTTAATCGATCAGATTTTTTGTATTTTTGGCGAATACGGTAGGATTTTAGATTATTTTCATAAACATCTCTGAAATTATATACTCTATTTTAAAATACCTTTTAATTTTTTAAAATAAGTCAAAACACCTTTTAATATATAAAAAATATTTCAAAATACCCTCTTCATGCATCTCCAGCTATAATTGTAATGATTTTTACTTAATTTATGAAACGTGGCATGCATTAAACGTTTAAAAAATGTATTTTAAAATACAAATCCTATTAAAAAATTATTGATAAAAAACTAATAGCCAATTTATATTGACCACTGATATGAATTAATTTAGGACCCGTTTAGTTTGTTGATTCAAGTTTTTAATTTAAATTGAGATGTAATTTTATGTGAGAACTTTTTATTGTAACAAAAAAATTAAATGTAATTATTTATAAGAGTTTTTTACTGTATAAAAACTCAAATTCTAAACTTAGCGAAACGAACTACCTTAATCTCAACCCTCCAATTAAATTTATTTGAAAATGGAAACCCTAGAGGTAAAAGCTCAGCCGCCCCATCACAACATCCACCCTCGGCGGCCCCGTCTCAGCCGCACCTCCTTCGTGTGCCGACAACCACGCAAGTGCTGCAGCAAGAATCGAAGACCATCTGTGTCTGCCTCTCCTTCTGGTCGTCTTTTCCACCGTCACCTCCGACATCAATGACGAAGGCCGCCGAGAGAAATCCAAGATGAAAATCACACTCCGCCGGAGCTGACAATCTCCTCAAGGCTCAAAGACCGCACACAAGCGTGGGCTTGCTTTTCGACCACGAGGACACCCCCTTCGTCTCCCAAAATTGCGACGGCGACGCCTGCGTGTGGCCTACGCCTTGGAGATTGTCGTTACCCATTTAATAGAGAAGCAGGAGCTGTAAAAATGGGTGGAGCTTTTAGTGCTCGTGGGTGTAATTTTTTACTTTGTTTTTTGAGCTTGGGTGCTCCCATGAAGCCATATAAATACGTTATATGGATGGTAAATAACTGGAGTCTGGAGCTTTTGTTTTTTTTAGTGTTCGGCACTATGAAACTATGGGACAAAGCTTTTATATTTTGTATGTTTGTATCAATCTGTTTTCATATAGCAAGTTTTCTTCCCGGTTGATTATTGGCTTTCTCAACGCCATAGTCGACGGGATTTGCTACGGTGCTTGCCGAAAGAGGCACGGACATCCGGTGGTCACGAGTGCCTCAAAGCGGTGGAGCGTTCGCTGCACCAAAGGCAGCGGTAGTAGGATTGAGGCAGGGGAGACGGCGGCGCTAATGGAGAATGGGGGCCGCACTTTCTATTTTCTTAACTCATGTTTACCTAAAGCTATCAAGGGCTGAGATTTGTTGATCTATTTAGATCAGTGGATGAGATGTAATTGATTTATATCAATGGCCAATGGCTGATATTAATATGGAGTGATTAGTTTTTTAATTAATTTTTATGACAAGGATTTATGTTTTAAAATATATTTTTAAACTTTTAATGATGTCGCGTCAGTAAAATTGTTAATATTATAAACGGAGATGGAGATTAGAGGCATTTTGAAACGTTATATATTTTTTGGTGTTTTGAACCGTTTTAAATAGTCACAGAACATTTTAAAATATGGTAAACATTAGGGATATTCATAAAAATAATTCATAGATTTAAATTTATATTATTGGGTGACGTGAATGTAAATATGACATCATTTGAGTGACATCTCTTTGAGTTTGTTTGATAATATTTTTAAAATGATTTTATTTTCAATAAAAAAATAAAGATGAGATTGTTTTAAAAATTATTCTACTGATTCTGAAATTACGTTTAGTGGTCTTTTAGAAGATTGGTTTGAATATGATAAAAAAATAAAATCGTGTTTGGCCATATTTATGTTTATTTTGATTACATGTAATTAATAATCTTAAATTAATATATTAAGTGATTAATAATTAATAATTATTTAGCAAATAAAAATTAATATAATAATATAATAATAATAGATAAATTATCATTAATAAGTACAGTAGTAATTAAACTATATATAATAATTAATATGCTAAATAATTAAAAATAATAATTAGTAATTAATTATAAGCAATTACTATGTTAATAATGTACTTATATTTATTAGATTGTAAGTAATTAATTAGTGTATTAAGAAAAATAATTAGTATATACATAATTTATTAATATTCCGTTTACTACTTAAATTATTAACTTTTAGTTAGACAATTAAATAATAGTTAATTAATTATTAATGTTTATTTAATAAAATATTATTAGATATATCACATGATCAATTTTTGATAATTCTTATTTTTATAATGATTAATCACTAATTATCAATTATTAATTATTATTAATTAGTATATTAAATATTGATAATTATAATTTAATATTAATTATTAATTAAATATTAATTTATTAATATTAAGTTTTTAATTTTATTAATAAAATTAAAAACTTAATATTAATAAATTAATATTTAATTAATAATTAATTCATTACTATCTATTTATTAGTTATTAAGTATATCTATTTATTAATTATTAATTATTATATAATACAATTAGTAATTGATAATTAATTATTTAATGTAACATAGTTGATAAGTATTAGAAAATGAAAACAAAAAAGGCAAAACAACTTTGAATCATTTTCTACTTTTTTCATAAAAACTATTCTCATTGTTTTTTGTTTTCGTTTTCGTTTTCAAAAATTTTATTAAACAAAAGCGATTTGTAAACCGTTTTTATTTTCGTGTCTCAAAAGACGTGCAGAAACATTTTTAAAAATAACTAAAAAATAATTTCAAATGTACCCTTTGTTTCTCCCATCACTAAATCCCATAAAAAGTAAACAAATAAGAACACACATAAAATTTATTTACCCTTACTATGAGAGGTTTGTTTACTTTCAACCCTTAGAGTAAATCACTATGTTGGAAAAAAAATATCAAATATTATAGTAATTCACTATGTTGGAAAAAAAAATCAAATGAAAAATCCCACATCTCTTTGGCTCACTTTGTTTTCTTTAATATATCTCTTAATGTTAATAATGGGGCCTCATCAATATAAAAAATATGTAACTAAAATTATAAGCGTGAAAACGCCAAAATATCCTTAATAATTCTAACATCTCTCCTTGCCCAAAATTGATCACACGGTATATATATATATATATATAATCTTTGAAGAAAATTGACGTGAAATGTTTTAATCAAAGAAATACATTTCTAATTTAAATAAAATAAAATACCATCTATAATGTAAATGTTAATGCTAATTTTATATTTAATATCAAAAAATATATTATGATATGTTATTTTTATTTTTACTCTATTGAATAATGTTATTTGAAATTCTAAATATACTTTTCTCAATAATTATTAAGCTTTAAAAGTTGTAAAATTGAACATTTATTTTTAAAATAATTAGAAAATGTAAAATTTAGAATGATTACATGAAAAAGTAAACATTTCAACCAATTGCAATCAAATGTTAAATTTTTCATATATCATACTTGGTGAAAATTTATCACAAAGTATATAGTATGTGAGAAATTTGACGTAAAAATAACATTATATTGGATAATATGTTTTACACTCAAATGTTAAATTTATAATTAGCACATAAATTATAGCATTATATTGAAGATGCTGTGCCATTTGATTAGCAAAATCAAAATATTAATTTTTTTTTTCTAAATTTCCTCTCAAAATTCCTATTTTTCCATTAAAATAAGCTGGGCCCAATTTGGGCCCGATTGAGAAGCCCATTTTCTCAACTTTCTCAAACCGACCCAGCGGATACGGGTACAAAAATCCATTTCGTAATGCTATGTCCTCCTTTCTTACCTTCCTCCTTCCCTATAGGGTTTGCCGCTAAAACACAGAATCGCCATCGCAAAGACACAGCTCTAGCTCTGCTTCGACATTCTACGCCATGGCGGAGACGAAGCGCAAATCCAGAGACAACCCAAACGGGAAGAAGAGCAAGAAGCAGAAAACCTTAGCTACTCAGAGGGACAACAAGAGAAAGAGACGAGGCCCTCGTTTGCCGTCGAAGTTCCGGAAAGAGCTCGACCGCTTAAACCCTAGCGGCGCCGGCCGCAGTCCTTCCGGAAGCGACGCCGAAGAGAGGATTGACTCCGATGAAGGCGAAGTCTACGCCGGGAACGACGTCTACGAGTATGAGGAGGGAGTGACCGAAGAGGAGTCCAAGAAGAATCGCCGCTTCGATCAAGTTGAGAATCTCGAATACGAGATGCCTGAGGATTTTGAGGTTTGCTCGTTCCGACTCTAGTAGAGGGTGTTTTTTTTTTTTCATAGCTATTTCGGATTCGAATCAAGAAAAAAATTTATGAAATTAATGGTGGTATTGTCGTTTCTGAGATAGGATGAGAATGTGTCATCGGACGATGAGAATGAGGATGACAATGCTGGGGAAGATTCTAGTGGTGAGGAGGAGCATGGTGATGGAAGGCACTCGAGGATGTTGCAGGAAATAACTGGAATGCCTGGCGAGGCTTTCGAAGGTATTTTAATTAGAATTTTTGGCATAATGTGAGTTTGGCCGGATATGTATTAGATCAAATTCATGGAGGTTTACTAAAAGGTGAAAATGTGCTAGGTCTTAGAAATGTGTAAACTTTGTTTTGGATCTTCACTTTAGTACCTCTATTGCTTTTAGACGGTTTTAAGTTTCTTTGGCGGCATTTGGAAGGATCGTTAGTAGTTATTTAAGGTGAAAAATTACTGAAAAGCAGTTAAAAGTAAATTAGACGTGCCGCTAGAAAATGCTACTATGGCTGAAAATGTATTTGTCATTGTTTTTTAGGGAAGAAGAAGAAGAATAATAATGTCATCACCGAAGCTTATCCCGAGTCTGAGTATAATCCTAGTCGTGATGTTTTGGATGGGCATGGTCAGATTAGCATTGAGGACCTTCTGGACCCTCTTCATGGGACGTCTGGTTATAGCATGCTTAGGAAGAGAGTACATCAGATGGAGAGAAAATCAGGTCCTACGCCAACTCCGCTGCCTAAGGTAGAACGAAAGAGGTTGGACAGGAAGGCAGCGTATCAACATTCAAACAAAGATGCGCTTAAGTGGGTGCCACTGATCAAGAGGAATAGGGAGGCTGGTACCATAATTTTTGACAATGATGTGGACTTGGGGTTTTCTACTGTAGGAGCAATAGCATCGGAATTTGAACCTAGGACAGAATTCGAGAAGAAAATGGCTTCATTAGTATATGACGAGAAGGTTATGGATGCTCACAAAAAAGATGGCGCTAGACTTCTTGAATTAAACGAGGTATGGATGCTTTAGATGTTTTTCTTCTCTTTGCACATATGACTTTACTAATTACTGTCCTTGTTCTAAAACTTATCTCATTCTTCTTTTCTGTAATTTTATTTATTTATTTATTTATTTTTGCTTGGGGTATCACGTGATATCTTAAAGTTCACTGAGCTTGGGGAAAAATTTAATCCCAGGATTTGGGTACAGCATGAGTAATGACCATGTCTTAACTGAAACCTTCTTTTTAATTGGTTCACAGTACTATTGTGAATTAATTGGATTTGGAGTGGGTCCTGAAAAAGAACTACGTTCACCAGTTTCCTGTGGTGTATGGCAGGTATCTGTTGAAGATGAAAGGGATCGCCAGAATCGTATTGCAAAAATGCGCAGCCTTCTTTTCCGTCATGAGATGAAGGCAAAACACATAAAAAAGATAAAATCAAAAACATTCCATCGTTTGTTAAAGAAAGATAGACTGAAGGCAGCATCTTCTGAGAATCAGATAGATCCAGAAGCTGCTAAAGAACTGGCAAGAAAACATGAGTTCGAACGGGCAAAGGTGATTACTTTTCTCACTCACTTTGTTATATACAACTTGATGGGGGCTTGGGCAATGAGCTTTAGAAGCTGTCACTTATTTTTCTTTTTGTTGATCTAGGAACGCATTACTTTGAGGCACAAAAGCGGCTCGAAGTGGGCAAAGCGCATTAAAGAGCGTGGTTTAAAGGCCCAGGATGAAGGTACTCGGGCTGCTATAGCTGAACAGCAGCATCAACATTCTCTCTTGACGAGAAAAATGAACTCTATGAATGATACCAGCAGCAGCGAAGAGAGTAGTGATGGGGATGAGTCAGATGGGTATTCATCTGGTGAGCAGGATAGGACATCCAGGTTACTAGAAGAAGCAAAAGAAAAGACTCTTAAAGTTATAAATGAAGAAGATGAAGTGCCTAACTCAGGACTGCTTTCTTTGCCTTTCATGGTAACCTTTCTTTTTTACCCTCGGTTTCAGTTTTCAAAAGATTGTGCAATATCTTCTGTCTTGGGAAATTCTCAGCTACCTGGATTGTGATTTATATTCGATTATTCTACAAGTTTAATTATCTTGCTTGCAGCAAAATAAAGTGGAAAAAAATAAGGAAAAATGGGAAAATAATTGGCCTTCACTTTGGCAGGAGACTGGGTGGAAAATTCAAGGTCAAAAGATGATTTTTTTTTTAAGGACATTACTTTTTGTTTATGTTCTTTACTAATGAATTCGGTGTTTTTTTTCCCTTTTTCTTTTTGTACCCTTATAAGCGATGTGGATGATCTATGATTTTATACTGGTCTGTGTATATGTTATGGTATGTATTGTGTTTGTATAGGTGCGCGGGATGAAAAAAAGGGATGAGGCGGCTGCTGAGGAAGCCAAACTTGCTCTTGAAGATTTTGAATCGCTATCTAAGCAGTTGGACGGTTCAAGTAGAGGTGAAAATACTAAAGTTGGCCCCTCTAGTGGTAGAATGGTTTTCAATGCAGCTGGGACGCAAGCTCAAAAGTCAAGTAAAACTAAATCAGACGATAGGACTAAGGCAGATAGATTTTATGATGATAGTGATGGTGAAAATGACATAGAGGCTGAAGATAACAACGATGATGAGGACATTTGTTTTCATAAACATGAAGTGTCATTTTTTTCCCCCTGTGGTTCACAGAGCTTTGATGATATTGCTAAAGACCCAGGTCCCAAGACAACAGATGAAGTTGCTATTTTTGCATCAGGCGCCTGGAAAAAGGTTCTTTTTTCTGCTTCTCTTTTTTCACTTCACTCTCTATTCTTGTTTAGTGTCGTATGATATGTGATATTGAATATCAAATTTTAGTAGGTGGAAATTATTACATGCCTTCATATTCCCTGGGTGTGGGTACTGACAACTATATGCGTGATGATCAGGTGAAAGCTGAAAATAATCGGGTGAAAGGTGGAAACAATAATGCCGATAAGAAAAAGTCTCCTGTTGCCTTGGAATCTGTTTCAAAGAATGAAGATCTACAGGTATGTCATCTTCACATTTGTAGGGTTGCAGTTCTGACCGTATGTTAGGTGTTTCACAGCTTCACTTACCTTCTTATTTCCGGCACTCTCGTCAAGGAAACTGAAAAGGATTTAGGTGAGGATAGTGATTCAGATAGTGAAGGCCAGATGGTAGATGGGATTCTTTCTTCGGGTCCTAAAGCGTCCTACGAACTTCCTTCTCAAGCTGAGCTCATTCACCAAGCTTTTGCAGCAGATAACGTGGAAGATGATTTTGAGAAACATAAGCAGGAGATCTTGAATGAAGAGAACCCTGAACCTGAAAAGCCCGTTTTACTGCCTGGCTGGGGCCAGTGGACTCATGTACAGCAGAAGAAAGGTTTGCCTTCTTGGATGGTGAAAGAACATGACACTGCCAAGAAGAAGAGAGAAGAAGCCCTCAAGAAGAGGAAGGATGCACAACTTAAACACGTCATCATCTCTGAGAAGTTGGACAAAAGGGTAATTAAAAACCACAGCAGTTTTCTGCATCTTTACTAGATATGCTCTCCGTTGTAGCCGAGTTTTGAGTTCATAACTGTCCATTGCTTAATCAATACGACTAACGAACAACATTTCGTGGAGGAACTTTTGCTCGACTTAATCTCAATCTTTTAACTGTTTGATTCAACTCTAAAATCAAAAGTTGAACTTGGTATGGAAGTAAACGTAGGAAATAGCATTTGGCATCTTTATGTATCAACTTCGGTGGAATTGCACTTTTGATCACCGGAAAACTTATCTTATTCTCCTCTTATGTGCAAGTGTTTTTTATGCTCTGCTCTGTCAAATAGATGACCGTGCCATTTGTATTTGGAATTTGGCAGGCTGAGAAGCTGTATACGAAGACTTTACCTTTCCCTTATACATCGAAGGAAGTTTTTGAGCAGAGCATCCGTATGCCCATCGGTCCCGAATTCAACCCTGCAACTGCAGTTGGAGCTCTCAATCGGCCTGAGGTATGTACCTCGTAATAAATAATAATTCTAGTTTGGCTTCAAAGAATCCTCGTAGGATTTCATCTTTTTGCATGTATTACTATCCACATGTACATTAGCATAATGACAACTTCTTACATGGATTGCAACTTATTCAGGTGATGAAAAAACCGGGTCAAATTATAAAACCAATCGAGTTCGAGGAAGTGGATCCTCACAAAAAAACAGAGCAGCTAAAACATGTGGGACAGAAACAAAAACAGAAGCAAAAACAGAAACCGAAACAGAAGCAGAAGAAAAACAAGAGTACAAGTTAATTGAGAGATAGTTCCGTTGATTCGATAGATGGCAGATAAATGGGTGTTATAGCTAAGTTATCTGTATCATTTTTATGATCTTTATTTTTCTTGGTTTTCTCTGGTTTTTTATAGGGGAATTCTTTTTCTTATTTTATATTATATATTTTTTTGACTTACTCAGAAAATAAAAAAAGCTATGAAGGGCGTGTCGTTTTTTGCTTTTAGCAGCAGTGAAATTGTTTTGGCTTAACGCTTAAATGACAGATATTTAAAGTTAAAACCGACTAACTAACGAGAGGTAAGGTGACATGTCGGTTCTGAAATGAACTTTTAGCATGTCATTTCACAATATAACGACTTGATTAAGGCTTGTCGTTTATACTCATAAACGACATGAAACCTTTTTCGTTAAACGATGTGTTGAATATACATAACGACTTGATTAAGGCTCGTCGTTCATACTCATAAACGGCATGAAACCTTTTTCGTTAAACGATGTGTTGAATATTTGTATTTTGTGAAGGGAACATGTTGATTAATTGAATTGGATCATTGGACTTGAGAGACATTTGGTTCATAAATTAGAATCATGAGATTATAATTTTTTTTTATTTACGTGTATTTTTTATGAGAAAAAATAATATAGTGAATTACGAATCATAATTTAAATCGGGGTACGAATTCTCCGACTAAACAACTCCTTAAAGACGCTACCTGTAAATAATGAGCAACTTGTCGTTATCTTCGGCAACAACAAAGTGACAAACTGTGAACGGCACGTCCCTTTTTTTATTTTTTGTTGAACGACGATAAATGTCTAAACAATTGAATGGTATGTAGTTTGTTGAACACCAAATGTTCAAACAAACCCGACATGGCATTTCGTCACATGTTTTTCGAACAAAAGAATAAAAAAAAATTCATTTATTTTTTCTAAAATTAAAAAAAAAGTTAGTTAATTTCTTTTTAAACAAAAAAGGCTCCAAAACGATTAGCAAACAAAAAAAAAAACTATCGTATAATTACAGATATAGACAGTCGGGCCCTTTGTATAAATAGACTAAGTAAAAAGCGTTTTTAAGTAAATAAACCACAAAAAAAATAAATTGAGTAAATAGGTCAACTTCCACATCAGCTATTCCACGTCATCAATAACCGACCGACCAGACCAATAACCGGCCGAATAGACCAAGAACCAACCACCAGACCAAGAACAGACCAAGAACATGTTGGTCTCCGAATCGAATTCGGATGCGGAAGCGTGGCAGGGAAGGCGGATCGTGCATAACAAAAATTTTCATAAAACCTTTGAGATACTCTATAGATTATATTAATTTATGCACGAATAAATTAATCTCAATAATTCATTTATTAAGAACTCAGTTAGGAAAAATACCTAGAGGCCGACTCGGATGATAACTTGAGTTCTTTGACCTCGAACAATCCTTGCTCCAAAGCTTTGTGTTTAGAAAACCAATGTCTTTCACGTCAATTCCTAGAATCCACGAAGACGTGTGTGTGGGCACACATGAGACAAAACAAATTACAATAAACACTCGAATTTTCACAAACACCAACGCATGCACGATGTGAAATTTTTGGAGAAAAATGTTTCCTTCACTCTATAGAGAAATTTCGGCCACCTCTAAAATTAGGGCAAAAATTCATTCCGAAAATTGTCTCCCATTCTCTTATTTATAGAGTAGAAGTCAAACTTCTAGAAGGAATCCAATCTCTATCTCTAAGATAAAGTTTGTTAATTATCTCCTATTTGAATTTTGAAACAAAATCTCCTCTATCCCTCTATCCTATATGGCCGGCCATTCTAAGGGGATTTTATCCCTGTGTAGGCACCAATATCAGATAGGGAAGGAAGAGAAAATCATCATTTATCCTGTAGTCCAATTTTGATTCAAATTCAAATTCCAATTTAAGTCAAGCTTAAATTAATTTGAATTCTAAATTGAACAACTTATCAAATAAGTTTAAATGGATAAATCTAGATGTGTTCAAATTCAAATTTAAATAATCACATTATTTAAATAATAATTAATTCTCAATTAATTATTTTCGAGTGTTTAATTTTAGAATTTCGTAATTCTAAAATTCTCATTTTGTCTTATGTGTCTGGTAGAATTATTAGGATGACGCGGGGACTAATGGACCTATAATCCCGAGCTCCAATAAAATTAATAATCAATTAAACACTTTAATTAATTAATTAATTCTATTAATTTCAA